GCTCTCAGAACCGAGTCAAAGCTTCTAGTGCTGCCGGTGTTCCGGTAGTCACCCAGAGCCAGAAGTGTTCTGGTGATCAGAACCAAGTGGATTAGTTCAGCTCCAGTTCGTATGGCGAATATAAACGAAAAGGAAACGGTTTAAGGAAGAAAACGGAACCAGACTTTACCTGGTCGCTACGTGTGTGCGCGCGCGTGTGTGTGCAAGGCCCATATGGGCAGCTGGGCAACCCAGCTGCCCACGAACTCTGGGCCCAGGCCCAGGGCAGGAGCAAAATACTGTAACTGTAATCTCCCGCTTTATGAGGACTATGGTGACATACGTCCTCTTTTCCCCGGACATGTCCGCTTTTCACTCTTTGTCCGGACTGGGGCTTCTTGTATTGATGAAAATGTCCGGCGTTTCATCCAGGAACAGGGATCGAATTATGCAGAGCTGTATATCCTACACATCCAAGGTGAGGTGGAAAAAAGTTTTCTGCCTATATTACATCATTTATGGACTCTTTTGAGCAGAGAGCACATATAATGATGATTGTTGGTGTTCAGCGCTCCAGGCTGCTGCTTCCAGCCAGTGTTGCCAGATCCAAAATCCCACAATATCGTACAGAGAGGCCTAAATGATCGTTTTTCAGTACAAATTATCGTACATTATAAATTTGATAATAACGTTCTATAAACGACTTCTCACTCCAATATAATATAACAAAGAAGGTGTTTTATATTGCCTTGTTTAAATAAACATCTTTAAAACCAGTAATATAATGCCTATAACGTGCAGAGTGTGCCAACACCACTCCGACCTCCACGCAATGACGCAATATGCACATTTGCGCAGTCCTATTTATGTCATTTCTACATAGGTTAAACGCACGCGACGAAACATCACAGCAGTGGAAAAACTGACCCAATAAATGACAAAGCAGCCTACTCACCTAGTTCCAGAGTCAGCTTTTGTAATAGACACAATAGCATAAACCTGTAAGCACTGAGGTGAAATCTGACTTCAGAACAGTTTACAATTATGTAATGGACTTGGGAAAGCCACAGCAAAAGGCGTTGTTACTAGTGATGGAATGATGATACCTCAAGGAGTGTATTGACACACTAGACAAACTGTATTGACACTGTGTTGGTCACTCAATAGCGACACCTGCAGTATTTCTAAAATCATTGCAGGTAAATAAGATGGAAAAGCTTACATGCTGCAAACCCACACCAGGTGTGCTAAATTTAATTTCCTGTAATCAAAATATATCATTATGTAATTTAATTTACTCAATTTAAGTTAAGTTGTTTATGAAAGGAGTTTAACATTTGCTTATAACCTTTGTGTAAATGTTACAATGAGTTGGCATGTTAAATCTTCTGAATGTGTCTAATAAAAATCAGAAGTAAAAGTTTTAACTTCTGTAAATGTGTTAACCTCTGAGTTAGATCATACAAAATAAAAGACTAAATATGGATTCATTTATGCATTTTTATTGAGGAACAAAAGTTTGTGCAGTGTGTTTGCTCCAAGGCCATTTCTCCTCTTAGACACCAGTTCCCCTGCCTTAGAAAACACTCTTTCACAGGGTACAGATGAAGATGGTGTGCATAAGAATTGAAGTGCGAGTTGATAAAGGTGTGGATCTAAATTCTGGTTATTTTTCCAATATTGTAATGGGTCTTGTGTTCTCGGTGCATTTCTTTCAGCCAGGTAGCGTTGGACTTCAGTTATGGAATTGGCTGTAGTATTAGAGGTCATCCTGCTCTCCTCAACCTCCATATCAAGGTGCCTCCAGAGATTGTGTCCTAACAAATAAATTGGAAATAAGTCTGTTAATCATTGGTTTACTATCACATGACAAACTTCCGCAGAAATAAACAAATATTCACAAAGAAATGTGTTTTCATACCTGAACTGTGTTCTGATCCACGTGAAGTGCTAGGCTCCTCTACTGCTGGGTCAGGCTCATGGCTCCTCATTTCAGCAGCACACTCTGACTTCAGTCTCTTGACAGCTTCAGTTGCTTTCAGTGGACTAAAAAAGCCAGCAGTTTTAAACCTGGGGTCCAACAATGTCGCCAGCGACATCACACTGAGCGACTCCATGTTACAGATGGACTCGGTTAGCCGCTTTGACAGATTTTCAGCCAGCTGTTTAGCAGTGGGTTTTGTCACCGTTGAAGATTGATGTTGAAGCTCAATGTGGATCATTCTCATCAATGGAATAACCTTTGACCCCGAGACTCTTTTTTCGGCTTGGTAAAAAGGAGCAAGCACCCTGAGCATCTCTTCAATGATTTCAAATTCTTCTGGAGTCAGTGGAGTGAGATCAGTTTTTAATGAGGCCAGTGACACCCAGACTGCCTCCTTCTGCTCAGTCAGTCTCTCCAGCATGTGGTAGGTGCTGTTCCATCGTGTCGGCACCTCATTTATTAATTTATGCAATGGTGTTCCCAGCTGTTGCTGCATTTGAGAGAGCTTTTCCTTGGCCGTGGTGCTTGATCGAAAGTATGTCACAATTTGCCGTGCTTTGTTGCGTAGTTCTGTTGGTGTTGAGATTTGATCACATGATTTTCTTACAATTAAATTTATGGAATGGGCAATGCAAATGGTTTGCCGTACTTGCAGCATTCGAGCACATGCAATCATGTTTGCTGCTGCATCAGTGACAAGACACCTGACTTTGCCTGCTATGCCCCACTCCTCCGTGAGGCTCCTTTTAACTGTGGCCATGTTTTCTGCAGTGTGTTTCTGAGGGAAATGCTGCACTCCCAAGACTGATGAACAGAGTTCATGGCTTTCTTTGTCCACATAGTGGCAATAGTAACGGCAAGATATGCCTCCATATTAATGGATGTCCACATATCAGCTGTTAAAATAACAGCAATGACGCTCTGGAGGTCCTTTTTTGTTTTCTCCTTTTCCTCTTCATATTTCTGGCTCACCAAGTCCTTGATGACCTACAAGTAAACATACCAATACTGTAATACCAATGTTGCATAAACACACACACACACACACCATGAAAGTAGTTGATTAATTAAAGCAAACATATCTTAAACATAGGGCTGTAGCGAAGCCTCGACGAAGTCGACGGCTCGATTCTAAAAATTTGTCGACGTCAGATCCGGAAGTCGACGCACCGCGCCCACTTGTTGCATCCCCAGGAGTTTGTAAATAGAGGAGGAATCTGCTTGTTTTTCCTCTAGTTCGCCCTCTTCTCCGCCTTCACTAACATCTCCGCCAAATACCGAAGACCCGGAACAACGTCCGTCCACAACTAGATTATTTTCCTGTTTTGCCCCTTCGTCTCCCGGCAACGGACAACAACTTCCGGGGTCAGATGCGCTGCTCCGTCTCTACCGCAGATGTAGAAAATCACCGGGAGCGCTTCTCCCTTCATTAAGGAGCTTCTTTCAGACATGAGGAGAGCTGTTTTGGTGGTAGAAGTCTCTCCTCCGTGCTGGTCTGTTTGCTGCTGGGTGTTTTTGGTTTATTTAAACTTGGTAACTTGAACTTAATGTTGGTAAAGCTACTGTTAGCATCTTCGCTAACAGCTTCTTGCGTTGGGATAAGCTGTTACGTTTTGGTTTAGAGTTCATCTTTTTTGTGGTGTAGATCTCCCTTTTATTACATTTAGAGTGTTGTGGGTTTTCGGTTTAGTTTAAAATGTAAGACCACTCGCCTCACGCACATAAGTGACCAAAACAAAGCAGCATGGAGACACTCCATCTTCTACCACTTCTCAGGCAGCAGCCTGCACTCCCAAGTTCTACACGTCATCAGAAAACCAACACAATAAACGCAGTGTTATACAAAATGGAAGGCCTGTAGTGTTTATTCTCTTACAGTAAGAATTTATCAATTTTTTTGAGGAATTTATTTGAGATTTTCTGGTTTTTGTTAATTGTGCAATAGAAAAATAATCATTAGATTAATTTTCTAAATAGTCATTAGAATAGTCGACTATTCGATAAAATAATCGTCAGAATAATCGTTTTAAAAATAATCGTTTACCCCCAGCCCTACTTAAACATACCTTCCTGCTTGGTAGAACATATGAGGGTGCAATAAGCTTCCCTCATTTTCAACAATGGTGAGTGGCTGGCACCACAGCATCATCCACTGCTTGCTTGTTAGGAACTGCAAGCCAAAAGGAAATACTTTTTTAAAAGCTTTAAAAAGCTTATGAAAAGGATTTTACAAGCAATACTACAGAGTCACACAAAGCCTTTTGTGTGTAATAGACTAATTTTGACAATTCAGATTTTTTGGTGATAATTTCAACATACCTGGGGTATCTACCACTTCATCGTTGCCATGCCGAGCTCTATAATGCCTCAGCATTGATGAAGTGCTCTTATTTGAGTAAGACAGCTCTGTGGAGCAGAGCCGACACTTCACCTACAATAAAATAAATAGTTAATTTATCTGAAAACAATTTAAGCCTCTTACCAGAGAAAGACTACAAACACATTTACAATACAGAAATAACAGTAAACGTTGCCAAATGGAGAAAACAATTTACCTTTTTTGGCGTCAAAAGATCAAAATTATTCCAGACTGGGGAAAACTTCTTGGAACGATCCATGAAGTCAGCGGAGAAAAGTGAGCGTGAGGTAAGGAAAAATCCAAAATCAAACAGCAAAACTCTAACCAACAAATCCGCAACATGTCGATACGGTTTGTTTCCTTATAAACACAATTTGGCGCGGCGCATCCAAACGACACACAATCCTGTGTCGGTCACGTGATATTTTCTTAAAGCGATACACGCACCGATACGGGGTTTCACTCTTGTGCAGTCGACACTGTGCTGACGCGCCAGTGTCTTTCGTCCCATCACTAGTTGGTTCTAGATGCAATGTGAAATTATCGTACATTTGAGGATTTTTGAAACTATTGATCGTACATCGTACAGAGTCCAAAATTATGGTACAAATACGATAATTATCGTACATCTGGCAACACTGCTTCCAGCGCACGGTCCCAGGGGCGTGTCCAGGGAGTGGCCTGGGGTAGCACATGCCACCCTTGGAATCTGATTGGCCACCCCGGGTGCTAACACACTAATTTACCTTTAAATAGGCTTTTCATTGTCCACAAAAGGCTTGGAGGCAAAACAAAAAAAGCATAACCATTGCTGCCACCCATGCACAAAGTTGTGCCTCACCTGGGCCACCCCATTTTAAAAGATCTGGACACGCCACTGCACGGTCCATTCTCAAAGTGGCGCAACCAAAAAAACTATAATTAACACACGATCGTTCATGTCCGCACATGTTCTCTACTTTCTGTCTTATTTGTGCCTGAAGCGCTCTGCTACTGCGGAGCTCATCACCTGTGCTGCGTAGGGCTGGGGGTAAACGATTATTTTTAAAACGATTATTCTGACGATTATTTTATCGAATAGTCGACTATTCTAATGACTATTTAGAAAATTAATCTAATGATTATTTTTCTATTGCACAATTAACAAAAACCAGAAAATCTCAAATAAATTCCTCAAAAAAATTGATAAATTCTTACTGTAAGAGAATAAACACTACAGGCCTTCCATTTTGTATAACACTGCGTTTATTGTGTTGGTTTTCTGGTGACGTGTAGAACTTGGGAGTGCAGGCTGCTGCCTGAGAGGTGGTAGAAGATGGAGTGTCTCCATGCTGCTTTGTTTTGGTCACTTATGTGCGTGAGGCGAGTGGTCTTACGGGTTAAACCAAACTCAGGTGATATTTTAAACTAAACCGAAAACCCACAACACTCTAAATGTAATAAAAGGGAGATCTACACCACAAAAAAGATGAACTCTAAACCAAAACGTAACAGCTTATCCCAACGCAAGAAGCTGTTAGCGAAGATGCTAAGAGTAGCTTTACCAACGTTAAGTTCAAGTTACCAAGTTTAAATAAACCAAAAACACCCAGCAGCAAACAGACCAGCACGGAGGAGAGACTGCTACCACCAAAACAGCTCTCCTCATGTCTGAAAGAAGCTCCTTAATGAAGGGAGAAGCGCTCCCGGTGATTTTCTACATCTGCGATAGAGACGAAGCAGCACATCTGACCCCGGAAGTTGTTGTCCGTTGCCGGGAGACGAAGGGGCAAAACAGGAAAATAATCTAGTAGTGGACGGACGTTGTTCCGGGTCTTCGGTATTTGGCGGAGATGTTAGTGAAGGCGGAGAAGAGGGCGAACTAGAGGAAAAACAGGCAGATTCCTCCTCTATTTACAAACTCCTGGGGATGCAACAAGTGGGCGCGGTGCGTCGACTTCCGGATCTGACGTCGACAAATTTTTAGAATCGAGCCGTCGACTTCGTCGAGGCTTCGCTACAGCCCTAGTGCTGCAGTGATTTCACCTCACTGACGCAGCATCCAAACACGCTCTCCGCTTTGAGGTCAGGAGATCCCTTTGATCTGCTCAGAAGTAACTGATGAGGTGAAAAAGTAAGAATCCAGGCAGCAGATTTTCTGGAGAGTTTAGAGGAGATGCAGGAAGATGAGAGACAGACAGGACAGGAAATAGTTCAATAAAAACAAGAAAACAAAGTAAAATGTAGGTAGATTTATCTCCACTACACGTTTTTACCAGTAAAAAACAATAAGTTATACACATGTCATATTTATGCATCTGATACAATTCAGATCACCTTCAACACTCAGTCACACACCCAGGGCCGTTTCAAGACATTTTGGGGGCAAAGCCAAAATTGCCCCCCCCCCATAACTGGGCTCCCCAGAAGCCTCTGTGTAATCCATACCCTCTCCAGTAGTGTTAGTTATACAGTGTTTATAAAAGCCCCTCAGACATTACTGACATGTTCTAATATTATCAGATGAAAAACTAAATTATCAGACATGCTGTCTCATCTGCTGCTTTTCTAAACTTGCAAAAAGTAACAAAACCATCTGAAAGCCACTATTTGTGGATTCTCTGAAAGTTTCCATGGAGTGTGTGACAACTTATTTTTTCATTGATCCCATCGTCTAATCTCACAGCTGAAACAAGTATCCTTAATAATCTGTGCACAGGAAGCTTACCGATGCTGTAGTAAAACAAAATGTATAATAATTTATTATTAATAAAACCTTGTTGCAGCACTAAAGCAGAAAAATGAGATTTTGTATTAAATATGCAAAATATTTACATATGAATTGTTTTAGAGCCCTTTTATTGGCAGAATCTGATATTAATTTAGTTCTTACCAAAAAAAATGGGTCCCAACGTAATATGTGTGGCGTTGCCATAGTGTGACGTCATAGGCACAGATCCCCTGTCCTCTTGTTTGGAAATGGAAATATGATCACCCTGTATCAGGGGTGTCAAACTCATTTTAGCTCAGGGGCCACATTGAGGGAAATCTAGTCCCAAGTGGGCCGGACCGGTAAATTAAAAAAAAACTTCAGATTGTTTTCTTTGTTTTAATACAATCAATATAAAACAAGGCTAGAGCCTGAGGACAGTGTAGTACAAGTACAACACCTGAAGTGTACTTGAAAATTTGAAAAAAAAAAAAAAAATCAACAAATAAAAAAAACATTCCTTAGCAATTCAAAGAGCTTACAGATCACATGGCTAGATCAGTTTCATGCAGCACTTAAAGTATATTTGACTCATTTTACTTCACATCTTTTAGCTTTCACCAGCACATCAACATCAGAAGTCACATCCTGAGTGGCAGCCAACTTCAGGATGTGACTCAAGTTCTTGTGTGAGCCTTGTTTTATTTATACTCATTACAGAGTAAACTTGCTCACAAAGATAAGTTTATTTTCACTCTACATTGTAAAGTATGAAAATAAAGTTTACACAACCATCTCGCGGGCCGGATTTAACCCGCTTGCGGGCCGGATCCGGCCCGCGGGTCGCATATTTGACACCCCTGCCCTATATTAAACAAACTGTCCACCCGGGCTTTTGCGCTGCACAGAGACGCTTCGCTGCCCTTGACTCTGAGAGTCAGTCTCATGCAGACTGACCAATGAAGAGAGGGCCTCAAGTTACGACCCTCTCCTCATTGGTCAGTCCACACAAGGTGGGTCAAAGGTTACCCTGAGCGGGTTACGTGTTGTCAGGCATTCAAGTATTGAGTATATTTACTGCATATTACAGTAAAATATTCTGTATGTGACCATATTATGGTGATCCTTGGGTCGTGATGATGGGGCCCTTGAACATTGTTGCCCAGGGTACAACAGTGTTAATCTGGCCCTGTGTGTGTGTGTGTGCGTGTGCGTGCGTGCGTGCGTGCGAACGCACCTTAGCTGCAGGTAAATCCACCTTCGTGCGCCTCCTGCAGACAGCATCTGAAGAATGGGAGGTGATTCCTGAACCAATCGGGAAGTGGTGCAATGTGCAGAATGACAGTGAGGACATTTACCAGGTGAGTGTATTGGTGTGTGTGTGTGTGTATGCGTGTGCGTGCCAGGAAATATGAAGCCAGCTCTCTTCTCTGGGTGTCTTGCAGCACTAAGTAACCATGGTAACAGAGACTTGGGTAAGAGCCCTTCTGGAGGCGGGGCCTATCCGAAAACGCAGCAGTAGGGGTGGGAAGACCATAGTTGTCTGTAGGCCGTGTTCGAGTTGAGCAGCGCCTCGCCTGGAAAACAGACGAGAGCAGACGGACGCAGCAGGGGGAGGGGCTGAAAGCCGGCGTTTAAAGTCGGACAGATTTCCTGCATGTGTAGCTCGCGGGTGACGATGGATGAAGATATCGCGTTAGCGTTCACACTTGTCCAATTTTCAATTTTAATTGTGGTGCCTGTTAGCAGCTGAAACACATCCTCACGTGCTTGTGGATATCATATGTTGTATATGGAGACCTGACTGTAATAATAAGTAAAGGTTATCAGCTGTAGCTTCAGTCTGTTCATAGGAAACGTGACAAAAGAACACAAAACACATTCCTCTTTATGGTCTATATAGTTATCATCATCAACGTTACATGATTTACAGAATACATGTGACCAACTAACATTTCATGTTCTACCACCGGATGTTTGGATCAGAATGTGAACCAATCAGATCTTAGATCAGGTGAGAGCCAGGCGTTTCCCGTCATGCTCTAGGTTTTGCAGCCGAGGGAGAGCAACTGCAGCGCCTTGCTCCATAATCTGCGGCCACCTTGTGTGTAATGTCTAAATGAGACATCCGGGGCTGGGAGGCGCTGTCTGTGCCCCGAAGGCACAGAGAGATGACGCGGCTCCTTTCAGGAAGTCCACTCACAGCAGTTTACAGGTAGCGGGCTAGCATGAGCAGCGCCAAACTTTTACACACAAAATGTCCGCTGTGTGGAAATATTTTACTCTGGAAGCTCCGCAAAGCAAGACAGCAACGTGCAATGTTTGCAAAGCTGTTGTTCCAAGAGGTGGAACCTCCGTCGCAACTTTCAACACTACTAATTTAATCAAACATTTGAAAAAACGCCACCCGAGGGAGCACGAGGAGTTTTTAACGAGGGGGCCGAAAAGAGAAAAGCAACACCAAGAATCGCTACTGGAGTCATTCAAGAAGCAAAGTAAACTCCCCGCAGACGACGTTAAAGCCATGGGGATTACAGAAAAGCTGCTCAACTTCATTGTACGTGGTGACCAACCGCTATCGGTGGTGGAAAATGAGGGATTTCGCAGGCTGATTGAACACTTGGAGCCAAGGTACAGTTTACCCTCCAGGACATGTTTATCAGAGACAGCGCTACCTGAACTATACAACCGAGTGTCAGCCAAGTTAGCCGGGAAGCTGAAAGGAGTTCCAGCCCTGAGCTTCACTACAGATATTTGGACTTCAGATGTCTGCCCAATGTCTGATAAGTGCACTGGGTTGACTCCGGGACACATCACTTCTGTTGCGCGGTGCTTCAGGTCAAAAAGTGCCGGGGTTCACACAACCGAGCTACAATCGCAGCCGCCATTGCCGAGATGCTAAATAACTGGGGGATTCCTCTGGAAAAGGTGCACGTCATTCTACGGGACAACGCAAGTAACGTGAAAGCCGCTTTGGAAGACATGGCGGTTCCTAGCCTGGGATGTTTTGCTCACACGCTGCAGCTCGTAGTGCATGAAGGGCTGATGTCGCAACGCAGTGTTAGCGATGCATTAGCAAACAGCCGAAAGATTGTCGCACATTTCAAGCATTCCCAACTGGCGCAGTCTCGCTTGGAAGACCTGCAGCGTGAAATGCAGGGAGCGGGAACCACATCCACTCCAGCTCGTCTCGTCCAAGACGTCCAGACAAGATGGAATAGCTCTTTCTACGTGGTCAAGCGCCTTCTGACTGAGAAGCGAGCTCTCTGCGCTTATGCTGCCGACCGCAGCTTACCCGCAACTTTATCAGCCAACGAGTGGGGTTTACTGGAAAAAACTGACCGTGCTAGAACCGTTCGAGGAGTTGTCGAGGAAAATCAGCTCAGCGACCTCCACTGCAGCCGACGTCATCCCAGCCGTCACCGTTTTAAAACGTCTGCTAGCAGAAGAGAACCGAACCGACAGCGGCATCAAAACAACGAAGAGCACACTCCTCCAAGCTGTCAACAGGCATCGAAAGTGAATCCCTCTACGCTGTTGCGACTCTACTGGATGCTCGTTACAAGGACAGGTGAGGCGTATTTTATTAATGCATTAATTATTAATACTGTCTAAGTTTAAATATAATGTGTATTATCTCTATGGGTCTGTGTGCATCCAGGCAGGCCAGGCTCTTGCAGCAGCAACAAATAAAGTTGTACTCAACCCCTTTTGTTTGTTGTGTCAGATTCTTTACGGGGGGAGAAGCTGCCAGGACGGCAAAGAATCTCCTCAAGCAAGAGATGGAGCGAGCGCTGGCCAAGGCATCAGCTGACAAAGCGGGGACAAGGAAGCCAGAACCAGAGCCAGCAGAAAAGCTTGCTCACGTGGATGCTAGTTCTCCTCCTACCACAAGTAAGATTAGCTTTAGCAGTCTGTCTGACAAAATTCTGGAGGAACATGATGAACCTGCTCAAGGTACCCAGGCAGCAGTTATCCAGATGCAAATGTACTTGAAAGAACCAACAATGGGTGAGCTAGACAGCCCTTTCCACTACTGGGCACACAACCATGCCCGCTTTCCTCTCCTTGCTGCTGTTGCAGTAAAGTTCCCGAGTGCTCCTTCAACGAGTGTTGAAAGTGAAAGACTGTTTAGTACAGCATCCAATATTGTGGATGAAGAAAGGAATGGTCTGACAGCAGCAAGAGCAGAAATGCTTATATTCCTCAGAAAGAACCTGTCGTTGTTTAAGTGAGATTAGATGAACAACATTTAAGTACCTCACGCATTTACATTTATTTTGTTTTCAAGAATAGTTCCAGACTCTGACAGACTGTTAACTTTATCCAGGTCACCTTCAATGCAAAATCTCCAATGCTTGAATTGTACTTTTCAGATGCACACTGTTGCTGTTTGTTTACAGTGCACTTATTGCACTTTTCTTTCATTCAAAATGTTTAATACTTGAAAACTTTATTATTTTTTTACTGCTACATGAGCTACTTACTGAGTTTGTTTCAGATGCACTTTTTTGATAGTGTGATTTTATACTTGAAAATTACATTTTTGATGCTACAAAATTTGTGGGGATTGGATAAAGCAGCCCTCTATTTTATTTGAAGTAGTTTTATGGAAGTTTACCCGTTTCATTTCATATTTGACACTTTAAAATGTGTTACTGCCTGTGTGATTATTTGGACGTGGGCTGTTTAGTTCAAATGAAAGGGTTTGTTTCTTTGATTGTGCATATTGCACTTGTGTCCAGTAACCCTGCCTTGAAATTGAATAAATTTCAATTTGAAAGATTACAGTTGCTTTTTTTTTTAGGATAGACAATTTGTTGTTTTTGTCTCTGAAGGTTCTCAGTCATCCAGGTCATTGTAGTCTCAGGAGCTTTGAAAGAAAAGCGTCTGGACTTCTTTGAGTTGCTTGAAGACGTTTCACCTCTCATCCAAGAGGCTTCTTCAGTTCTAAGGTCCAATGGTGGAGAGTCCCAGATTCAAACCCAGTGGGAGTTTCCCCCCGAAGAGGGAACAAGAGACCCCCTGATGATCTTCTACATAAACACACGAGCCAAGGTGTGAGGGTGGGTGTGGGTCCTATTCAGCCAGAGTTTCGGGTGAGCTCATTGTGAAGCCTGGCCCCACCCTATCATGTGAATTCCTGAGGTCAGATGGCCCAGGATATGCGTGGGCGTTGAGGCATCTGGGAAGGGATCTCAAAACTGGATTATAGATGGCAGTTGGTGTCGTAAACCACCGCCTCTGTTCAAAGATGGTTGCTCACAGTGGACATAAATGGCTTCCTTTTCTCCTCTTTCAAACCATCTGTCCTCTCTGTCTAAAATGTGAACGTTGGCATCCTCGAAAGAGTGACCTTTGTCCTTTAGATGCAAATGGACTGCTGAGTCCTGTCCCGTGGAGGTGGCTCTTCTATGTTGTGCCATGCGCTTGTGAAGTGGCTGTTTGGTTTCTCCGATGTAGAGGTCTGGGCATTCCTCGCTGCACTGTACCGCATACACCACATTGTTCAGTTTGTGTTTAGGAGTTTTGTCTTTCGGGTGAACCAGTTTCTGTCTGAGTGTGTTGCTGGGCCTGAAGCACACTGGTATGTTGTGTTTGGAGAAAACCCTCCTGAGTTTCTCTGATACACCCGCTACATAGGGGATGACAAGGTTGTTGCGTCTGTCTTTCTTATCCTCCCTTGCTGGTGTCTGGTCTTCTTTTCTGTGCATCTTTGCTGACTTTATAAACGCCCAATTAGGATAGCCACATGTTTGAAGTGATTCCTTTATATGTGTGTGTTCCTTCTTTTTCCCTTCCGGCTTAGAGGGAACATGTTCTGCCCGGTGGTGTAAGGTCTTGATTACTCCAAGTTTGTGTTCCAGAGGGTGATGTGAGTCGAAGAGGAGGTACTGGTGCGTGTGTGGGGGCTTCCGGTACACTTCAATGTTGAGGTTGCCATTTTCTTCAAAGTGCACAGCGCAGTCCTTTATGTTTTCCCTGGTGAACTAGATGTTTCTGTCCACGGCGTTGATGTGCGTAGTGAAGGATTCCACTTCGTGTGTTTTGATTTTGACCCAGGTGTCATCCACATATCTGTACCAGTGGCTGGGTGCTCTCCCTTTAAAAGAGCCAAGAGCCTTGCTTTCCACTTCCTCCATGTAAAGGTTGGCTACAATAGGTGACACGGGGGAGCCCATGGCGCAGCCATGTTTCTGTCTGTAGAAACCTTCGTAGTATTTGAAATATGTAGTGGTGAGGCAGAGGTCTAACAGTGTGCAGATCTGATCGGGTGTGAAGCTGGTCCTGTCCTCCAAGGTGCTGTCTTCTTGTAGTCATTTTCTGACAGTCCCCACTGCCTCTGTAGTGGGTATGCAAG